TCAATGTATTTGCAGTTTTTTGGAGGCCACAAGAATAGGGTTCATATTCTTTTGTTCATTTTTAATAGTGAATGCGTGCCTTAGTTGACCACGACTTCGATTATACTTGGTACACATAGTTTGAACGCCACGTGACCATGGAACAGAAAGTGAGCGCGAGTGAAATCGGCCGATTTTCGACTGGTTGTCTCGGAAGGAAAACAGAACGAATTTCGAGCCACAAATTGTGCCCTGGGACGTCGAGCCATTATAGTTAATGTTCAAATAAAACCCTCGGCGAGCATATAATACCCTGTCAGTGTCCCTTTACGCTGCCAGGTATTAAATATGGTTCATGCTCAGCAGTAGACGATTTGATCGGGGGTCGGTTCTCCGCTGGTCCACGATAGAAACGACTATCGCCTGTTTACAGTCGCAAGACGTACAGTCACCTGCATTTAGATGTACGTAGATTTATTTTATTTTTGAATATTTAACGCTACAGCTGCGTTGTTCGACAGACGACGTATGTCACTTGTATTCTGCGTACTTTCTTGCAGTGAAGGACCTGTGTTTGTTCCCACGCTTTCTGCTAAGCGTTTCTTGTTTGTCTTCAGAAGTATCTATCGCGGCCTAGGAAAGTGACGCAGTAAAAAATAGGGAGGCACATGGAATCATAAACGGAGGAAAAGAAATACAAATGCTCGCGCAAAAAAAAAAAAAGGAGCCGTCTTGTTTTTTTTTTTCTCTTTTAATCTCTAGTGGACACAACCGTCTCAAAAAAAAAAAACTGAAAAAGAAAAGTCTCAAGGAAGAAAAGCATATATATGTATGAGTTCTAACCGACCGTTGTCCTTTTTTGTCGACACACGCATACACACCGCGTCAAACACGACAGGTTCGCCTTTCTCGGGCATCATCGCACGAAAAAGTCGAAAAAAGTGCGCATACCGAGCCCACAAAAAGATAAAAGGGAAAATAGTGCATCAGGATAACGACAGTTTAGAGAGCAGTCCACAGCCATGAAAGGGCCTCTCGTGTCCCTGTGCACAACGGACGATCTATTTTTGTTATTGCGCGATTTTCGTCGGCGAAGGACGGCAGGAAGGCGCGCGTGAGAGCTCGGATTTCTCGCCTTTCGCGGCCGAGCAGCCGACGACCACGACAACGGGAAGTGGACGAGCGTGCACCCGCCGACGCCGGCGCGCCAGCACGAGCGTCCGGTCTCGTTCAAAGAACGGGCGGCGGCGACGACGATTCGCCGTCGAGATTCCGCGCGGCCGCCACCGCTGTCCATTTGCGGGACAAAGCTAATGCGGCGAGCGTGTCGCGCTCCTTAAGAGGCCGCCAAGAATGCGACGCGCGGTAAATGGACCGTGCGCTTTGACGAGCCGAGTCGTGTTTTCATGCATCGCGTCGAGCGTGCAAACGACATCTTGTGAAACGAGTCGCATTCGTTCGTTGCGCGAGCGCTGCTCTTGCGCGCTCCTTTGCTGCCGGGAATGCTGTGCGGCATACATCGAGACATTGTCCTGCGCTTCGAGAAACCGTTTTTTTTTTCTTCTTTTTTTGTAATGGCAAAGAGGACAGGAAAACGGTGCGGATGATAGCAAAAATAATCTTTTGGGGGCAGCCATCTTTCTTTGTTTATCTTTTATATATGTTCTTACATATTTGACAATACTAGTCCTAGACAGGGGTATTTAAAAAAAGCTAGTGGCAACCCCCCCCCCCCCCCCCTCCCTCTTTCTTCTCCTCCCACAAACCTGGTCGTTTATGCTACGGAAATTCTGGCTCGGTGTAATTTAACTCTTCTTTATGACTTTCCCAGCATTAATTAAATAGAATACTAGCATAGCCCGCATCAAAAGTCAAACATAATCATGACGTGAACTTTTTTTTTTATTATTATCGTGTTAGCTTTTCTCTTTCTTTTCAATTTTTTGCGAGGACCTCATTTTCGTGAATTCCGCATCCGGAAAAGTATCTCGGACATTTTTTTTTTCTAGCAATATTATCATTCCAAAATATCTAACTATCACTCTAAATTGCAAATTTTTTTGACCGTCAGATGTTTTCCAAACCCACACTTTGCCTAATTTGCGAAATATTGAGCCCGCGAAAGTAAAGTTCTTTACACGTAGTTTGGGAGCAGGCGATATGTCGCAGGGCATCGTAAAGGAGACAGTCTAACGCAGTCGTACCAGCGTGCAGGCAGCTAACCGCTTCGTTGTTATCATTCACTTGCGCCACGACGTATTGCTTTCCGCCTAGCGTTCTACAACCCCCGGCAATCTTCGTGAGCTGCTCGGGCGGTGCGACATATCTCATCGAAAGAAAAACGAGTCTCAAAATAGCCTGTCTGCAACGTACCACCCTGTTCCTACCGCTCTTCCACGTGGCGGCATGAAACCCGACACTCCCCCGATGCTTGCACTCATAACATCCAACGCGTGGGTGTCCGGACCCAAGAGTTCCTACCGAGCGACCTCCGCGCAGGCCAGCCAGCGACATCTGGCGCCGACGGCGCTAACTGCAGCCGCAAGCCGCACCATACACGCGCGCGCGCGAACGCGAACACCCAAACACGGCACTAAATTCGCCCCCACGAGTTGAGCTCCTCGACTCGACTCCGACCGACAAAGCAGGTCCCTTATCAAGCCCTCCCTCGACGACGTCGCATTATATTTTTTGTATCCCTCCGCCGTGGGCTGTTTTCTCCAGTGTCGCTCAGATCCCATAAACCGAGCGGAGTGAGCTAGCTCGAGCCTTCCCCTTTTTATAGCCTTTCCCGTGATCCCGGCGGTCTAAACAGTGCGTCTTCGCGGCATGTGCAACGTCAAGAATGCGCGACCCGAGGGCACCATGCCCGCACACTGCCCGCGCTTGTCCGCCCGACCATTCGCGCTCGAAGCTGTCGTCCTTCGACGCCCGTAAACTAATTTCGGGGCGAAGTTTGGCCCGCGTGCCTGGTTTCTGCAGCGAGTGCCTGCCCCGGGCGTGCTGTGTACACACGGAGACGTCCGGCCGATCTCTTGCAGAAGCCTCGTTGACGTTCGCACCCTTTCGAGGTTCTGGGGATACGGACCGCGTAAACGCCGAGCCGTTATTAATGAGGGCACACCCGCGGAGGCGGGCCGCCTGCAACAACAAGCCGGAGGAGTGGTGGGCTCAAAATCCGCGATGAGATCTTGCCGATTTCAGTGTTGAGATGCTCCCGAGAGCGTGTGCCGAACGCGACTTCTCGACTGGGGTGTGCATAAATAATTCTTTGGTAAATTTACGACCTGTGAGGCTTAAGAGCTTCAAATTTATCGCTGGGACACTCTCTTCTCGGTGTTTCTCCTTCAGCGTTTTATTAAAATTTGGTGTTTCTTTTTTATTATTTCCGGTGAAGGTGCTAATGTGTGTGCACTGTAAGGTTCTTTTATTAAATGTGTTTGGTTGTCTGTTTGCTTGTCCTATGGGTGGTGAAGAAGTCTCCTTGAGGCCTCAGATCGACGGCTGAAGAATAAGAAGATAAGGGCAGGAGGAAAAAAAAAAGAGCGGTTAAACATTTGGGTTAACCAAGGCGGCCTGCTTCGGTCAACTGCTCTGACTTGAGGAAGGGGATGACGAGATGAAAGGCTGACGTTTTGCTAAGAGACTTGACTAGATGACTTAGACGTTCAGAGCACCAAAAGGCTTAGCGCCCTGAAGAAGTCGAAGCGTTTTAGAGGAACGTCGGCTGTCCCTAAATCCTTTAACGCACTTTTTATTCTTTTCCTTGCTTTCTAACAATTTACACTACCACCGTATTCTATTTTGTCTTACGGGTGGCGTGTAGTAAAGGTAACAAATAAAAATAAATAAAAACACGTAAAACAAACAAAACAAATTACCTTCCCAATGTTACCGCGCCCCGGTGATTACGCTAACAGGCAGGGGTAGCCAGACGGACGTCTGCAAATAGCCATAAATAAGAACAATTTTAACTGAAGAGCTGTAATAAAAAGGGGGCGTGGCAGTTTTATTTATTACTTAATTAATCTCATTTGCTGAACACAGCAAATTCCACCCATAAAAATATTGCTCATTATGTCTCTTCATTGCGCCTCCCCATTCGTGAGACAGCCATCTTGAAGTTCGTCTCGAATGGCGTCGGAGTAGTCGTGAGCAGCTTGGTTAGGTGTTTGTCCGTCAGGGTTGCACGCTAGTTTGATCTTACCACCCACATTGTTGAGGTGAGTGCCTCCCCGCAGTATACGTTGTTCCGGATGTCGCCAGAAATTTCTAGCTAGCAAGCAATGCTGCCACAAGGCTGCCAAAACTCAAGCAGTATTTTAATTCCCCATTGCTTTCCTTGTGATATCGCGGGGAAAGGGGGGTTACGTTTACCACGAACACCATACCAGGGTGTCCCTGGTAAGGGGTGACCACACTGCGGTTCCCGAGCCGCAGTTTGGCCTCCTCTGCGCTACGGCTTACTTATCTAACAGGACAAAAGAATTGAACGAATAATCGAAAAAGGCATTCACTGCATGCGACCGTGTCATAAGTAGAAGGGCGTGCAAATTGGACTTTGACTTGTCGAATTTCTTTGCTGCTATATAAAGAAAACTGTTTTTACACTGCGAAAGTTGCCGTGATGTCCTTATAGGCAACACCTGAAGAGTGCATATTATATCTGCGCGGTTGAAATTGAACACGGCATTCCCGCCTTATTTGTACTGCAGCTTTAACAGGACATACCACTGGGTGCTCGATCGTTTGGTGGCGCGCAGTATGCTCGATACAATGTGATATTGCTCTTGGGCGTAGCAAGAGCTTTGGAAACATCGGTTGTCAAACGCCTCAGATAAATACACTATTCTTTCGCTTCATCTGTGTCCTTCGCGCTAATGCGTTGCGAAATGCTTGCGCAATCGTGGCAGCGACAAAGCTTCAATAAGGAAGCGAAAACAGATTCGCGAACAATCTTGCGAGCAACACATGTGCCGCGAGCGGGTTTCTCAAAGCATCTTTTCCGTTGCCTTTCGCAGGATTCGCACGGCACGGTGCTCGAGCGATGGAGCCTGGCCAGCCGCGAAGAAGAGCCTTTGGTCATCCAGCAGTTCCTGCGCTTCGGCGAAACCCGCGCCCTCGCGCACCACTTCCTCACGAGCGACGGCCTCCTGGGGGGCTCCGACCGGGCCGTGACCGATGGTCACGGTCTACTCCACTCTGACTCTGACATCAAGAAGTTCCTGGAGAGGACGAGCCGCAGCAGCGCCGCCATCACGGCTTCGTCGGCGCTGTTCGCCAGCAAGTTCGCCAACGCCGCCGAAACTGTCGTGGGCAGCCGTAGCGGCAGTGGCGGCCTGGTGCTCACCAGGCCCCCGTCGCTGAGGCACCAGCCGCACCCCCCCTCGAGCGTGAGCTCGGGCCAGTCCGCGTCGCCACCGGCCGCCGGCTGCTCGCCGGCGGCCAGTCCCCTGGCCGCACTGTCCTCGTCACCGCTCAACAAGCTGCAGAACATGCAGCCCTACGACTTCCGGCAAGCGGAGCGCAAGGGATCCAGCCCCGAGATCGCCAGGTCCGTCGCAGACGGCCTGAGGACGGCCGACATGCTGCTTCTACACAACCAGCACCACAACCACAACTCGACTCCACTGTCTTCCCCCACGCACAACAACAACAACAACTTGGGCTCCTCCTTCCTCAACCACAGCTCGGATCTGAGCCTGACAGACGGTGTCTCCGACGACGAGGACACTGTTGATGGCGGAGCCATCAACCTGACGCTGGGAGGAGGACCGGGATCGATGGATTCGGTTTTTGCGGCGCGAAAGGTGAAGCACCTCCGCAAGTCAGCCAACCCGATGAAGCGGCGCTGGAACCCCATGGTGCTGAGTACGCTCACCACGAACCCGGCAACGGGAAAGCGTCGGGTCCAGTGCCACGTCTGCCTCAAGACCTTCTGCGACAAGGGAGCCCTCAAGATCCACTTCAGCGCGGTGCACCTGCGGGAGATGCACAAGTGCACGGTGGACGGTTGCAATATGATGTTCAGCTCGCGCCGTAGCCGCAACCGGCACAGCGCCAACCCAAATCCCAAGTTGCACACGCCGAATCTGAGGCGCAAGATCAGCCCCCACGACGGGAGAACGGCCAACCCATTCCCGCTGCTCCCGCCGTCGACGCTGCTCAACTTTAACAACGCCAACGCTAGTGGGCTCGTGTCGCCGGCTTCGCTGGCTTCCTCGCTGCACGAGAAGATGGGCTCCGTGCAGGAAAGGCTGGCTTCGCTGTGTCCGACGCCTCCCATGCCGGGCTCAAACGTCCTAATGCCGGGGGACGGCGCCCTTCCGCTCACAAAGAAGCTCAAGTTTGACGAGAGAGTCGCCAGTGACGCCAAAGAATCGCCCGAGAAGAGGGACGCTGGAGTGAACCTCTCCGTCGAGAAGGAGAACAAGAACCTCGAGAACAGAACGGGTATGCCAGGACCGAACGACACGAAGGGCGTCCGGAAGAGGAAAGCGCTCAATCCAACCAAGCTCGCGACCATCACGAGTGACGACGACCTTCAATACGCGACGTCGGATGAATCTTCTAGCAACACTTACATCGACCAAAACGGGCTCCTGGAAGAGTCTAAGTCGGACGATGATGATGACGTCGACGATATCACCACTGACGGACACGAAGATGACTCTAAAGATTTCGACGTTGACGATGACCTCGACGACAAGGACACGGATGGCCGTAACACGCCGTCTCCGCCGCTGATCAAGTTCAAGTCCGAGCGCGAAGCTCCCAAATGGAGCTTCGAAGTGGAACAGAACAAGATCGGCGCCGTCGAAGAGGAAGACCAGAAGCCCGACCTGCAGAGCAGCAGCAAATCGCGAACCTCGCCGACACCCAAGAAGGATTCTGTCGAGGACCTGTCCACCAAGCGGGAGGAGGGCACGCCGCCCACACGTATCAAGACCGAGGACGTGACCGAAAACCCGCTCCGGCACCTGGAGTCGCTCTCTCTGGGGGCCTTCGCGGGCCTGGTGCCCACGGCACCCCGCAGCCTCGCCGGCGGCGGTGTCTCGTTCCACGCACCGGGGCTGGGCCTCGCCGATGTCCCTCGAGAGGTCCTGGCAAACAGCGGCCTCCAAGATGCGGGCCTCCTCGGTCGCGACTCCCCGCCCTCCTCCGAGCAGCACATGTCCTCGCTGCTCCCTGTCTACCGCGACGCTGCACTCGTTGGTCCCGGGCTCGAGATCCCGGTGGACAAGGAAAATCCGCGGCGGTGTACGGCCTGCGGTAAGGTGTTCCAGAACCATTTCGGCGTGAAGACGCACTACCAGAACGTGCACCTCAAACTGATGCATAAGTGCACAGTGGAAGGATGCAACGCCGCCTTCCCGTCGAAGCGGAGCAGGGACCGCCACTCGGCCAACCTTAACCTTCACCGCAAGCTTCTCTCGACCACCTCCTCGGACAAAGGAGGCGCGCCGTTCCTCGACAAGGCGCTCTTCCCGTACCCGCCGTCGGACTTCTTCACCAGGCTCTACGACCCGCAGGGCTTACCTCTCAACCTGGCCGACGTGTACCACAGGCTGCCCGCACCGGAGGGATTCGTTCTGCCCCCCGCCTTCGCGGTCGGCCCCTTCCACCACCACCACCACCCGGGCCTCCTGGGACAGCACGGCTCGGCCGCGGACTCCAGGCCGTCCGATGGCAGCCGCGGCGGCTCGCCCGCCAGCGCCACGTCCAGCTCTCCGGGGCCCCGCAGTCCCCAGGACTTGCGGCACGACGAAGACGTCGAAGACGACTCCCGCGAGAAGGACGACCGGTCCTCACCTCCCAAGACTGCCAGGACGTCGCCCGTCGAAGACGTGCCCGTCGCCGTGGCCGCCACGTAGCCCTAGCTCCTTCGCGCGTTCCCACGTACAAACGGACAGCAGAGGCGCGCCGGCGGGACGGCCGTGCATTTCCCCAGCAGCGTCTCTCTCTCCGACTCTTCCCCGTTGTGCCAACAGACTGAGGCAGCTGTGATTTGTGACGTTCTCCCGTGCTGTTGTTTTGTTTTCGTACGCTCTCCTCCCTATCTCCTCGAGCTCATGTACTTCCCTCCGAGAGTAGCGGGACGCGGACTCGAGCCAGGAAGGACTGCTTGCCCCTCGCCCCTCCCCCGGTGTCCCGTGTGCTCCCTTTGTACAAACGACAACACAGACTCTGGGAAGACAGTATTCTGCATTTTCATTCTCCGCCCCCAAGACATCTCGTGTTCATTTTTTCTCGTTTACCGAAGCGCGCGAACGGAAAAAGATATCGCGCGACACGTGCTTCCTGTACGGTTAATAGCGACTTCCTTTGCAATACCGTATATAGATATAAATATATCTGTATAGATATGCACAAAAAACCAACCTGTGTGTAGAAAAAAAAAAGGAAACCACGTTTTTGAAGGACAATCGTCAAACAAATGCGAAGGAAGGCGCTTCTTTTTTTTGGGTGGGTTGGGGTTGCGAGAAGCAGCAGTATCAAAGAGCGCATTTTCTGTTGTCTGAATTCTGTTTAAATTATTTCCATACAAGGGTCAGAGACTCTGTATCACGTTTGAAAAAAAAAAGGTGTTTTAAAGAAAGCATTAAAACAAAAAGAATGGCTCCAGCACCTCAGGTTTTGGAGGCTTTGCCAAAAAAATTGTTGCTCGTGTGATGTTTCGTCTGCTTAGATTGCGTGTGTGAAACAACTAAAAGTGTTCTGTCCTTAAGTTAGTTCTCAAGGCTGTTGTGCATGAGCGACATAAAATGAAACACTTTTTCCAGGTCGTTGTGCTCAACGACTGACATGATTACACTCCCACATTCAAAGTTAAATGCCGGCTATTCGGCCACTTTTGAAGCCCAACATTCTCCTGACTATAATTTGCAAGCCGCTTACAGTTGGAAAAAAGTTTACCACTTCCTGCAAGCTCGTGACCTCGCGGGTTTTTCATAACCAAAGCACGGGCATGATGATTCTAGTCAGGAACCTTTGAGATTTCCACTAAGGTCGGTGCCAGAAACTGCCATATCGGCAAGAACAACTGCAGGTACCACGCATCTTTCGTTTTCTGAAAGAAACGCGCGTATGTTTTTCCCGCTTAGACAATACGTACACAATCCAGACGTCCCTGAGCCTTCGGACGCATTCATATTAATGATGACATTGTAGCTTGCTAACAAAGAGGGGCGAGTGAAACTCTGCAGGCATCACCCTCCGACCGTCGTGTCAAGTCAAAGCAGTAAAAAAAAAGCGCTTAAAACTAAAAATATGGTTTTTGGGTCGATTTTTTATCTCCATGTACAACCGGGAGAACGAAACAAGGGTTCTGTCGTGCCACTTACACCCTGTCTTCCTCTCTTAAAAAGAAAATGTAACAAAAGTTGACACAGAGCATGGTGCAGGTTGTGCTGAGTGTCTGAGCGAAGATATCAGGGATTTTCCGTAGGTCGTATACGCCAGTGCTTTGAGTTGCAAGTCGTACTGTCACTGAGCGCGAACTGAGCACGGGCCCGTGGGGCCTGCAATCCGAAATGTACGATATATAAAACGCCCTTATCATCTATAGGTTAAGGAGCTTATTTGGCCTACTTTCCCGATCATCTCTTTCAGCTCTCTTTTATTTACAGTAGTGGTGAGACCCCTACTGTTGCATGTCCTTCTTTCAGGGTCAGCGTGCTGCCATGGATGAAATTTACAATATGCTTAAAGTGCTTACAAGAAGTTTACAAAGTTACATCTATGAAGATCCCGCAGGGCAAGAACAAAATTGAAGGCTGCCAGCCAAAGGCAACATATACCTCTTGTTCTCACCGAAAAAGATATAAAGTGCTTATATTGAAAGGGACAATTTTCTATGAAAATGCACTCTAAGAAACGGGAACACATACCCTAACCCTACTTTAAGCGTCGATTACAGCCATCACCACCTTCCAGAAAACAAGGCCGTAATGAAGTTTCATCTTCGCCAAAAGGGGCGAACGCGGAACCGAGTTTGAACACGTGGGCTGGGGATCAGCATTCGGCTATCATGAACCTCAGTCCAATCAACAATGTCACAGCATTCGCATCTAATATGTCCCCCGCGTTTGCCTTTCCTTGATGACGCCGAAAATAGAAATAGAACACTATACGGAACGCGAAAAGCGGATGATAAAAATGCGAAAAAACCGCGCGGGCCCATTTTTGCGCCACTAGCCTATAGAACCAGTTGAACGAGCGGCAATATTAGCGCACCACTGCGCTTCCCGCTCGCTTCACATTTTCGTATTCTTATTTAATGGTTGTCCATGCCGTTTAGCGAGTTTCTGATTGTAACCATATCTTTATCTTCAATATTAAAAAAAAAGAAAAAACCCTGAACAAATATTAGTTAATTAGCCGACTTATCGGGACGGCTATATCCCATATTACGTCGCCCTTGCCGTATAACTAACGTACTCATACTGCATTAAGCAGTCACGGCTCTTTTAAAACAGATAACTAAAGCCTAAAAGGAAAAGGAAACACCCGGTATATACACACTGTATTTAATATAAAGCTGCCAGTGCGCCCTCCAACTGTCCTCAGAAATTCCACAAAAGCGTTGTCCCTGCGTACGGTTGATTCGCAGTAGGAGTGAATCCCGAGGCAAGGAAGACGCGGGAAAAATAACATGAACACGTCTCAGGGCACCTCTCTGCAAACGTACCGACTTGAAGATGGCGGACGTTGATCGGCCATGTTCCAAACACTCGTAGTTATAAGAACATTTGTTTGCGAGAGCTAAAGTTACTTAAATTTAGTTTGAAATCGGTGCCCTTTCAGCAGGCTTGTCTTACAATAAATATACTCTTTCACAAGTTTAGCGCCATTTAGAAGCGACTTATCGAAACCATACTCTCTGGTGTTGATTGGCCACTATCGGCCTGCCTCCAGGGCTGTTTCGAGAACGTTTCTAGCTCTACTCGGATGATGCCGTCTCATTGCTGCGTGTCAGGCCACTCTGCAAGCGGAGAGTCAGAAAGCATAATAACGGAAGAAAAGCGATATACTGTTTCGCTGCTCACTCTAAATATCGGCATCTTGCTGCTTTTACTAGCAACGAAGCGCACAGCCGATCCACACATATGTAGTACGGAAATTTACAATATACTACATTGATACGGATAAGATATTCTAGAGCTGGGCGTCGATTAAAATTTTTAACCCGATTGATCGCCTTCGCTTAATGAAATAATTAATCGATTAATCACTTTCGTTCATTTCCATGCGTAAAATTTGTAAAAATCGGTTACATTTTGGTTTGCTTCCGTTGAATGTGTGATAAACGGCGCAGTATGGAATTTCGGTTATAAATCAACCTCGATGTGTAGTTGAGAACAGTTCAAAGACACTCACACCCACACATTATTACGTAAGCTGCCCGAGGCAAAGATGTTCGTTGATATTCTCCGGCAAGGGTGACCTCGTCTGATTGTTCACTATAGCCTCTGCTGAACTGAAAGGACAAACGCACGGCCTTCGAACCGGCCGTAACACGTGTAACCTTCTGCAATTAGGGAGTCCTAGCGAGTCCTTTCCATCCGAACGGTTCGTCCTCGAACGCATCGCGGACGCCACTGCGCATGCGCGCGCGAGTTGTTCGGGGCTTTAGGATGCGCTTTTCGTTCGTTTCTTTCATTCCGGCCGCTGGAGTAGTCATCGCAACGCAGCGAATGCCGTTGACGACTCGAGGAAAATGCAAGATGGCGCTCGACTCCGCCTGCCCATCCGAGTGTTAGGCTTACCACAGCGGAGGCGATTCGCTGTCCTGCTACTTTTTGCGTCATCTGAGAAGTCGAACCAAATGGCTTCGAAGACTAATCCCGGTGGCAAACGGTCGGGAATGCTGTAAACTACGCGCGTGATGAAATTTTAGTTGCCCGGGCTAACGAGCCGCCTTGGCGACCGCGAGCAGACGAAATGATTTGGTTATAAGGCACACGACGTGAAGGATTGTTCAAGAGGACAGACACACATCACCTACCTTTCTGGTCGTTCGGGTACATTTTACTCTAGCTTTAGAGCTCTTGCAATTTTGACCGGTAAACGTTACCTCGGTCGTTTGGCTTACAAAGGTGTGGGCCGTGAAACGCGAGCTAAAGATTTGCACGCTGCAGAATGTTTCAGTTGTTTACTGCGAGATGGCGCCGCCGGTCAAACGCAATCATCATTATCGTTTAAATGGTTGCGCGAGTTTTATGATACGGTAAACCGCGTTAAATTTACATACGGTTTCACGAAACGGAGCAGTTGCACCGTTCATGTTTTCGGAACCGTGTACTCCAAAACCGACTCCCTACTATATGGAGCTACGAATCTCCCTCCTACAGTTTAATTTAGGTTAAGATATTACCTTAAGTCTGACCTTCATACAGGTGTACTCGTTTACGTCTGCGTGGTGAAAGCGTTTAATCTTTACTTTCTTTTGGTTGGTCAAAACTCCACCGATTAAGCGGTTAAAAGTTTAACCGTGATTAAAGCATCAATCGATTAATCGCTAAGTTAATTGATCCTTTGCCCAACCCTAGAAACCGAGGGAAAGGAGGAGACGAGAGCTTGCGGGGACGTCGGAACACCGAGCTCTGGTTGGAATGATTATAGAGGGTAGCGGCAAAGCTAGCAGCCTATGAATTCACTCACTCATCGAACGCGTTCGAACCGAGAGTAGAGACAGAGGTAGCTGTACACCGTTTCACCTTATGTTGTACCGCAGAAAAGGCCAGAGGCGCGAGCTCATAGCGTTGGGAGCTACTCTTAACGCACGAGAGCTTGTGCCGCCGAGATGTGCCCTAGGCAAGGAGCTCGCGCTTGTAGCCTTTCCTGCGGTACATCGTAAGATGAAACGGAGTACAGCTTTTCGTCTACCCCTAACCATTCCCCACAGAGCTCGGCGTCCTAAGAGTCCCCGCGCACTCCCGTGTCCTTCTCTCCCTTGGTTTCTATTCGCATAGGGAGTATTCACTGGCAGCCATATCTGTGTGCGTGGCTGCTGCGCGCATGCCGACGGCGAGCTTCCGGAGTTCTTTTGCAACGTGCATTCCGCACCATCAAGATTACCAGTCTTAGCGGGCTATTAATGTCAGCTCGTTCTGAGTGTGCACTCTAAACATCGCCCTCAAATACGGCGTCCAGTGTAGTACAGTGAACTATACTCCGCGACAACTTTTCTTGGCAATGCAGTGGAAGGTACAGGCCCGCGTCCCCTCTCCCATTTTGAGTGTGCGCGGGCTCTCCTCCTCTCCCCGGAAGCACACTCAAACTGGAAGAGGGGACGCGGGCCTGTACCTTCCACTGCATTGCCAAGAAAAGTTGTCGCGGAGTATAGAGGAAGGGTAGTGAAGTCAAACGCCGACGCGCTCCATGCATTGCTGTGAAGCGGCGAGCGTGGAAAGGGCCCAGATGTACGAGGCGACTCTACGGCAGCATGGGCTGGATAATCCGGCCCCCGGGTGTTCCGAGGGCCTTCAGCGAGCAGGTTCGGCTTGGCGGTTTGGCAGCGCGAACTGGCTTCCGTTCAGATCTTCCCCCCGAGTCTTCTGTCACTTACGTCGAATAAAGTGCACTGCCAAATCGACTGTAACGACGACGACGACGACGACGACGTCAACACCGGTAGCGCAGCAAATGCGAAGCCAAGCATGCGCTACCACAACCCATGCTTTAGTGGAGCCTTTTTGCGCCCTCGACATGAAAAATGGCAGCCGTGAGCGCTCGCTGAGCTCATCGCCCCTCCTCTAGTTCACTTTATAAACTAATGTTGCGGTGAACTAGAATAGGAGTAGTGGAAAAATAGAAGGCCTCCAGGTGAGGCGCTTCGTGTAGAACCTACCAGGTAGCGCTGGTGTTCGATTCTGGAGCACCTCTGCCAGAAAGGTTCGCGCCGAGCGTGGCTGTTTTTGATGTTGGCGGTTCATTAGTGTGGCCTATGTGTGCTTTATGGGTGTTTCAACGTCTATGAATTAATGTGTAAAGCTCACTTGTGCAATGTAGTGAAAACCGGGGTAACCATTCTTGCATGCTGGCGCGTAACAGTCCGCATCCGTCTTCTTCTTCGTTTTCATTGCTTAGCGACAAGACTCGATCCTATGTAATCAATATGCCAAGCTCTTTACATTCATGAAAACAAATTGCGAAAACGACCATATACACCACAGAAACCACCTGAGAACGTACGCGACGCCATATCCCATGCTACAGTAGCCATGTCCTCCGGGTTTCGTCAACAGCGCCACTCGCGGCAGCTGC